CGCGGGCTCCTCGCCTCGCTCTAGGCCCGCGGGCCGGGTGTGGGGCCGCCAGGCCTGGTCCTCCCTCGGGCCTGCTCTGGCCTCCGGGGAGGAGACGGAGGGGAACCGAGGACAAAGGGCCGGCGGGTGCAGACAGGCTCCCTTCGCGCCCCAGCCCCGGCGCGGCTCGGGGCCCCGCGCCCGCGTCCCGGGGCGGAAGAGCGGGCGGCGGGCGCTTCCGGTCCCCGCACAGCCGGGCGCTGGGCTCCTAGGGCGCCCGGGCCCTGGGCCCCGGGCCCCGCACAGGCCGCCCTCCTCGTGGGCAGGGCGAGCCATATTCGGCAGATAATGGTGGGTTCCCGCCGCCGGAGCAGCAAGTCCTGGCGTCCTCCAGGCAGGAGCCGGGAGCCCCGAGGGCGTGATGCGATTTGCCTCTCCTCGGCCTCAGGAACCGAGTCAGAGTCAGGAATGTTGGTCCCGAGGAGGGGGATCTGTGTGTCCTCAGAAAAGGAGCTGCCACTACTGAGTGGAGAATACATGCTAGAGAAGCCATTATGGTTATATTGACATCAAAAATGTAAAAGGGTTCATGTATTCAGAGAGTGTAGGTAAAGCTTTTTTTGGGGGGGTGGGTAACTGTATCAGTAAAGCACTGGAAGCCAGGGGATAGTCTTGGTATATACATTTTCTGTCTTCTTTGGTCGTCTTAAAGCCGTTTGCTTTCCATTACGATTTGAAATTATTTTTTATATACATTTAATAGAAATCACAGATTATACAGGAAATATATAGGCTATGTAGAGCAAAAATATGAAGGATTGAATGCTCGTCATTCCCATTGTTTCATTTTTCTCTTTCTTCTTAAAACTACTTTTAGGTATTTACTATTTTCCTTTGTTGGTGAAATGTGTCCTTCATGTTTTATCCTGGAGAGAGTTGAGCACTGGCTCCCTAGAGATCATATATAGAGTCAGAAAGGGACCTTGGCACTACATTGCTTGCTTCATAATCCATGGGGCTGAGTATAGGTCACTGAACACAAAATGGCCATTCCTCTGTTGCTTACTGAGGTTTAATGGATTTTTGTAATGGTTTTCTAACTATCAGACTGGGGAAACCTGGTTTTGGGGCTTTGTGTTCACATAAACCAAATACAATGCACTATGTGAAGTTTTTTACCCTACAACATATATTGGTAACAAGAGAGTGAAATTTCTTAGGGAAATTCTGAAACATCACATTTTGAAAGACTGTTTCAAACATGGCTTGTAATTATAAATGTGGAAAGTCCTTAAAATTTTCCATTTAGTTGATTCTGGGCTTGGTGAAAGATTTCTAAAAATCCTTTAAATAATATTCTATGTACCTCTGCTACAAAATTATGATATTTGGTGTGGATGCAGTTTTTAGTATTAGTCTCCTCTCTCCCCCTCTTTTTTTTTAAGCAGAGGATTTTTGGGGGAAGGAGTGAGTTATGGTTGATTTTAACTTCCAGGAAAGTAGAGGTGGGGTGAGTGGAGACATTTTGAAGGATTCACAAACCAAGTAAGGTTAGATAGACTCATATGATTAAAGCGAAGATTTTTGTGTTTTAAAGGGACCTAGTTTTTGCCTTTGCAGATGCTGTTCCCTCAGTGCTTGGTATTTTCCACCTCCAGTGCACCTGGTGAATGTCAACTCATAGCTGAAGTTTCAGTTGCCAGTTTTAGACTTCTTTTTTGAAGCTATTTGCATATTTAATTTCTTTTGCCAAAAAGTTTTTTTACTTCCTTTTATGTTCATGTTCTGAACTTCTGTTTTTAATTATTACGTAATTAAATTACTTATTATTTAAATAATACCACTCACAGTAGTATCTAACACTGTGAGATATCATGGCATACTTCGGGACATGACTAACACTAGTTTAGTTAAAAAAAACTTTTTTTTACTTGACTCTTGTGTCAACAAGAACTTTCCATTGTTAAATACTGTAAATTAAATATTGAAACATAAATGGGGCAGCAACCAGGTACAATAATCAGAATATGGAGGAGTTCTTGGAAATTGTAAAATGTTGTACAGAAAATTATGGTCAATTGATTCATTAATTTATTTGTTCATTGAAGAAATATTTATTGCGTGCCTACTATGTGCCTATTAGAGCTTTTGGTTACAGGCAAGAGAAGCTGCCTTTAACATAAGTAGAAAAGAACTTCCTTGGCAGAAACCATGTAGCTCACAGAAACGATAGGAATGCAGGAGATTCAAGCTTGGAAAGCAAGCAGGAACCAAGGGAGAATAGGAGCAGGGGCAGAGTCAAGGTCATGCCGTGCAGTAGACTGGTTAGGAAGTCTCTACAGGCACTGTTTTCTCTGTTGCTCCTGCCAAGAGTAACTTCTACGCTATCCCTGTGTTTTCATGTCACCTATACAAGAGCCCATTGGGAGGTGTCCTCTCCTAAGGTATATACCGGGATCCTAGCTCCCAGAGGGTGAGAAGGGGGGCACTGCTTTCCGCCTATACTGCACACTTTAGGGAGTCACTTCAAAATAGGAAGGGTGTTTGGATAGTGGGCAGCAAAAAACCAGAAAACAAAAAGCACCCAAAACTATGTTACCACATCTGTGCTGGAGATAGAACAATGTACAAGGTAGATGTGGTCTCTGCTCTCATGAATCTTACATTTTAGTAAGTGTAAGTGGTGATGTGGAGTGGTGATGATGACTGTTCATTTTTTGTATAGAGGAAGGAAAAAAAACCAACAAAGAGTTATTCAGATCCCATCTCAAAATAATGGGCTAAGTTTCCCCCCGTTTTTGTCTTCTTGTTCTCTTTTGGGTATGGTTGGATGTTTGTTGATCAGGGGAAGTTGAAAATTACCGATGAAAGGGGTGCTGTGTCTAGTCCACCACCCTCAATCTCAAGGTTAAGGTCATGGTGAAAACAAGCTCTGAATCTGGAGGCAGAGCCTTGCATGTCAGTCCCAATCCTCTTGTTGTCTAGCTGTGTGACTTTGAGCTGCCTCCTCCTGTAGATACTCTCCAAGGTCTTTTCTCAGCTTCAAGTCTGATTTGATATGGATCCCCTTTTATCAAAATGGGGTCTTTATGATTATTGGGTTAATTTCCTAAGGGCTGCTATTCAATATCCTAAATCTGAATCCAGATAGTTATGGGGTGTTTAGCCTTAAAAAGCTATTTCTGATGGGATACATTTATAATAATTCACTTCATATTCCAAAAAGATTTCAAGATTCTCTTTTTCAAAAATGGATTTTCTTTTATTTCTAATTCCAAGTGATCTGATTCAGTGAATGAGTTTGTTGCTTTCTTTTTCAAATTACGTGCTGAGTTTTTGGTTCCTACCTGTAACTAATTTTCAGACCAAGAAAGACAGAAGGAACAGAGGACAGAGAATGGAGAACAGAAACTGTCATGATTTAAAGTGATTGGTGAGACCAGAATTGTTCAAGGTGATGTCCTTTTGAGTATTTATGAAAAACTCTTGACAGAGGTATTTCTTTTGAGGAAGATTTTAAGTTTTATGTAAAAAAAAATTACTTGATGGGGTGAAATCCTTTTTTAAACCGTGTTTCTTTAAAGTGGAACCATAGTGATATTTACTATATCATCAAAGTGTCCTGACTGGGAAGATGTGGGGACAGTTTCAAGGGTCATGTTTAACATTAGGTTTGTTACACAATATAAGCAAACAGCAGCAACCCTGGATATTTTGTATTCTTGGTATTCTGAAAAAAATTGGGTGTCAATCAAATGAATGCCTATTAAACCAGGTCACTTGCCTTGTAAATGAGCCCTCTGTATGACCCATTTTAAAAGTGAAAAATACCTTGGAAAACCAAACAATCATTTAAAAATATATACACTTAAAATAATATTGATGTCTGCATGTTGGGGTTGCTTTCAGTGGTGGGTGGTTGGGGTGGGGTCGGGGGAGTGAAGCGGGCGGTGGGAGAAGTTACCTCCATAGGAGTTACTGATCTATAATGCGAAAAGGCTTATTCTCCCCTTCTCTATGCCACTTCAAATCCTACTCATTTTTTAATACTATGTTTGTAAACTTTCTGGGTGAGATCCGTAGTAGGAAATGGATTTTATGTTGCAACCCTAGTACATATATATATATATATACACATTTCAGGAAGGAGATACATCTTTTCAAATGCCCTGTTGTAGCCAAACTTGTATCTGAAATTAATTACTGAAGCGTACAGCCTTGTCTCATGGTTCTGGGATGTTATTTTCTTCTTGGTATAGCATTTGTTTTTCTTTTTTTTTTTTTTTTTTTTTTTTAAAGATTTTATTTATTCATGTTTTTCCCCCCAAAGCCCCAGTAGATAGTTGCATGTCGTAGGTTCACATCCCTCCAGTTGCTGTACGTGGGACTCGGCCTCGCGTTGGACGGAGAAGCGGTGCCCTGGGGCGCGCCCGGGATCCGAACCCGGGCCGCCAGCATCAGAGCGCACGCACTTAACCACTAAGCCACGGAGCCGGCCCAGCATTTGTTTTTCTTACTGCCCATTCAGCACGTGTCTTCTAAAGCTTGGTATTGTTATTTGTGTATGTGGTTCATTGGCTGTTTTAGATAGTAAGCACTTGAGGATGCCCTCCTGGAGGGAAGTCTCTAGTGGCATGCCATAGGGCTCTTGATCCTATCTTGTTCAATATTTTTATTAAAGTCTTTACTGAAGGTTAGAAGGACTGCTCATCAAATTTGTAGGTGACACAGAGCTAGCAGCCAAGGCCAATAGATTGAAAGGTGAAATCAAGATTCAAAATAAAATATGAATGTTGGAATGAAACCAACAAGATGTAATTTAACAAAGACCTACATAAAAGCCCTTTGTTGAGGCTGAAAAATACGAATCAAGGTAGATTCCTGGATTGTGACAACAATGCATGTGAAAAGGTGGGGATGTTAATCTACTATAAATGCAAAATGATCCAAAAGTACTATGCTGCATTAAAAATGTAACGTAACTTTAGACTGCATCAACAAAAATACGGTAGATAGCTTACAAGGAAGGTAACAGGTTCCCTGTATTCTGGGCTGGAGATTTATTTAGCTTTAGCTGTCTCATTTTAATATAGACGTTGATAAATTAGAGATTAGCATGGGCTATCAGGATGTGAGGGAAGAGGAAACCATGCTTTATGTGCAAGAGTTAGAGCAAATGTTTAGCCTAGAGAAGAGGCAAATGATGTGGTACATGATTGCCACTTCAAATATTTGCCTGGCTGTCACGTGGCAGAGAGGGTAGGGTAGTTTTTCCAGCTCCCCAGGGCAGAGTTAGGACCAAAGGGTAAAAGTGACGGAGGACCTGACTTTGATTC